ACAGCCGACGTCATCCAAACTAGGCATGCAGGCTAGTAGGGTGGAGAGATGGGTGGGCACTGCGGTCCCGACTCGTCTAGTTCGTCTTCCCCCAGTCGCCGCCCGCAGGCGCCCCATGGGCGCCTCGTGCGCTGGCATGGACTTCTGGGTTTTCGCGCAGTCGCTGACCGTGGACGCCCAGTGGGCGCCTCGTGCGCTGGCGTGGGCTTGGGGGTTTTCGCCCAGTCGCCGCCCGCGGGCGCCCTGTTGTCAGGGTGTCTGCCTGACCGCAGGGTGTCTTCCTGGTCGCAGCCTGTGGGCGCCTCGTCGCCGCCCAGATGGCTTACACCACACGGCTTGGCACTACACAGCTTACTTGCAACATTGAGCTTGTACCACCTAGCTGGCACCGCTTAGCGAGCACCACATAGCTTGAACCACATAGCCTGCGTCTCACAGCTTGCACTACACAGATTGCACCACAGAGCTTACACTTTCTAGATAGCTTGGACCATACAGAGTGCGCCACATAGCTTGCATATATACAGCCTGCAATGCATAGCCATTGTTTAGCTGCATACGCCGTCAAACATGTTCTAGCAAGTTGCAGGATCTTGCTGCTAAATCACGAATATCAAGATTGGCGCCAGAAGACACGATGGCATCAAAAGCGTATCGCTGGCGCCACCTTCTGACATTGCTTTCCTTCGAAAAACTCGCGTCATCAACCACACAAGCACCCTCGCATGTTCTAATTACTAAGGACACACGGTGCACACAAAGACCGCACAATGTGCTAACGCATCCAGCAATCAGACCGGTACATAACCTCTCCTAAATACACACAAATCAAATAAAATGCAAAAGGGTACTCCGTTGCGAGACGTCCGAGATCTCATTTGGCAGCTCATTGTTATCCTCCTCATATCTTCTCCTCCATCTCACTTGCGAATTCGTTGTGTATAACCGTGCTTGTCCAGCGTTCGCGACTGCGTGCCCCCAGTGGAAGTGACAAATCGCGCCACGTTCGACTGAACGCCACCGCAGTGTGAAACGTGAGGCTGCTCCCCTCACGGCAAAGAGCCCCCGCTGCACTGACGTCCGTCAGCCACTCTATTTAGAAACGGAGCGATCCCAAAATAAATCTTGCACTGAAGGAGTTCTCGTCTATCTTCGAAAGAACTGCCCTGGCCGCCGCCGATTTCTTGTACTCGGCCGTCTCCGACCGTTCCCATCTTGGACCCGTGCCCTGGCGGCCGCCGAGTCCCGTCGTGCAGCACAGTCCCCGACTCTCCCCTGATTCGGTCCCCGTGCATTGGCCGCCATCGCCCTGCTGCGATTAGGCCTGTCTCCGACAGCCCCAGGCTCAGCCCCGTGCCTTTCTCGCCGCCGCGTTCCTTCGCTCGGCCCTGTCTATGGCTTGGCCCCGTGCCCTCGCCGTCGCCGATTTCCTTCGTTCGGCCGCCCCCGACTGTCCACTCCTCGGCACCGTGCCCTGGCCGCCGACTTCTGCCGTTCGACCCTGTTCGCGCCCGTTCCTGGTCGATCCCCTGCCCCAGCCGTCGCCGAGTCCCTGCGATTCGCCCTACCCCGACTGTCCCCAGATCGGCCCCGTGCCCTGACTGCCGCCGATTCCCTTGGCTCTTGGCCCACATTGGTGTCGCCACCATCACGGCTGCTCTGTCCAGCGATCTGTTCGGGGTCTGGACGCCAGTCTCGCAGACGTGGCACACGGGCGGGCTCTCCTCGCCACACGCTCACGGTACAGCAGCCTCAGGCAAGGCTTCGCAATCATGCACATATGCGAACAATTGTTTTGGTTGCCTTGCCCGAACAGGCCGATCGAGAAGTCCGCTGCCCATCAAGAGCTATCCCCGTCGCGCGATTCACGGACAAACCAGAACAAGGAGGAGGCACGCGCACTGCAAGTCGCAGAAACGCAATGCACACCTTCGAACACTTGCACCAAGAGACGAACACTAGACGAGCACTAGAAACGGCTTGGATGTTGCCGTGCTGTGTGTAACCACGCTCAAACCAAATTCTCACAGCGTCACGGTGCAGCTTTGGCAAGGAAAGACACCGCAGTCTTGAGCCATCGACCCTGCCGCAGGCGAGGCATCGGCAGGGACTTGCGCGGACAGGAGCAACGCTGGGATTGAAGACCTCACTGGGACATAGCACAATCATCTCCAGACTCCAGTCGTCAACCTCCTCCTTCTACTCCTCTGCCCACACCTCCTTCTTCTCCCCCTCCTCCTCCTCTTCTCATCCTCATCCGGCGGTATCGGCCAGCATGCGCGTCTACGTACGTACGACAGGGCGGAACGTCAGTCCAGAAAAACACAACGTGCAGTACGACATGGTCGTGTCGTGACGACACTGGCGTTGGTTCCTGACAACGCGCGGATCTTTCAACCTTGAGCGATCGGCAGCTTTCCGATTGCCACATCGCTCCATATTGGCCAATTCTGAGCCACTGGCGGCATTCAACATTCAGCGCCCGCACTGGAGTCGCAGCCGCATGGACACGACCCGAACCTGCCGTACTAAACTACGCGTCCCTCTTAGACCCCTGCACGACGCCGCAGGAGCTAAGAGCGCCTAGCACTCCTCTTCTGGGCCAAGCGACCCAGAGTCCAGTCAGGGACATCTCTGAACTCAGACGTCCACTCTCCCTCTTTCTCTCTTTTTTTTTTTCTCTCTCTCTCTCTCTCTCTCTCTCTTTCTCTCTTTCTCCCTCTCTCTCTATTTCTGCTTATCTCTCTATTTCTCTCTTTCTCCCTCTCTCTTTCCTCTCCTTGTAAGACTGTCCGATCTCGCATTCTTCCCCAACTCTGACGAACAGGGTCTGTGACACGTTTCCGATGGGCGGCGCACAAGAAGGTGACACGCCAGGGAGGGCCCTCTGAGAAGCTGCGGGGCTGCTGAAAGGGCAGGGTGCTCCGTCCGAAGCCCTCCTGGCGCAGAGGCCGTCCACGAAAGGCCCTCTGGGGGACCTCCACGACGAGCCCCTGCCGCCTCACAAGGCCCCCCCCCAGCGACCCAGTTGGCAGGCCGCCCGCCGCACGCCCCCCCAGCCCGGGTGTTGCCAAAAGTGCCCCTGGCCCAAGGTGCCCCCCAGGAGCTCCAACGAGGCCCCCACGGCCTTCCCCTCAGAAGGCCCCGAGGGCCCCAGGGCTCCAAAGTCGAGCGAAAACTTGGGGGCACCCTGAGCCGCGGGGGCACCTCTGGCAACCCCCGATGCGAGGCGGGATAGATCGATATCCACCGCCCATGGAACCGACGCCCTGGGACCCCAGATATGGATATCTTTGGGCACACGGGGGCTTGAATATATCCATTTCCACGGCCTGTCGAGGTCTCCGAAATTCAGTCCTCCAGGCGGTCGATATGTAGAAATCCCCGCCCCAGATGCGCGCCGCCCGCTGGCCCGACACCCGCGCCCGGAGGGAGGACGGAAAGACCGCGCAGCGCGCTTTTCGGACCGCGCAGCGCGCTTTTCGCCAACACCGTTCCGGGGCCCGCCGGCCGCCCCCCGTTTCGGTGGCAACTCGCGAGGGCCTCCCATGCCATCCTGCTGGATCTTGCAAACTGCCGAAGACCGACGACGACCGACGCTGGTCGACTCCCTCTCCGTTGCTCTCTGCGGTTGTTCCCTCCCCTCTTCCGGCAGCACCTCACGGGAGCCTTTCGTGCCATTTTGCTGGCTCTAGCGATCCGACGATGACCGACGCTAGTCGGCGCGAGTCGACGCCAAATCGGCGCTGCATCGGCGCCGAATCGCCGCTTTCCCGACGCCATGGCACGCCACTGTACTCCAAAGGCGGAATTATGAGAACTGACAAGGCTCCAACGATTTGCTACCGAAACCTCCCGCCAACCCGCCCGCCGCCCGCCAGCCAGCCTCCACCCTTGAGCCCTCCGCCCGCCTTTCCTCGCAATCGATGCCGCACGGGGCATTTGGCTTCTTGTAGTTGTGGCCCTTGAGCCCGGCGCAAACGACCCTCCGCCTCCCCTCCGCGCGCGGGGCGTGCCGGCCCCGACCGCGCGCGGCCGCTTCCAGGCCAGGGCATTCCCTCTGCCGTTGCTCTCGGTTGTCCCCTCCCCGCTTGCGGGAACACCTCACGGGAGCCTCCCGCGTCATCTTGCTGGCTCGTGCGAACCGACGCTGACCGACGCTAGTCGAGGCGACGCCAGCTTCTCCCGATGCATCATCTACCAGGGAGTCCGCGTGAACGGAAGTAGGGAACCGAAGGGCCTAACACTCCGTCCGAAGGAGATCCGTAGGTAGAGGAGAGAATGTTAGCGATGAAGGGTTTTATCCCTGGATGCTGTCCACTCATGTCAGACTGAGCATCTCCAGCACCTGGGCCGAGAGGGGCAGCGGTAGAGAAGAGTAAGAGTGGAGAGAGAGAGAGGAAATTAACACACAACCACACACACACACCGCCCCGAATCCCGCCCGAAGGCATGTCCCATGACAACGCCAGCGAGCAAGGGTTTCAGGATAGAGGCGTGAGTCCCATGTCCCGCTCGACGCGAGAGTCCCTGAGCATCGTGGAGAGCAGCACCGGCGCATGCGTGGGCGTCGATCCATCAGCAAGCAACAACGACGGGGGAGGCCCCGAGGGGCACAAGGGCGAGCAAGGGGCCACGCGAAGCAGCGAGAGGCGATCGGCGCACGCCCCAACTTCCGCAAGCGGGAGCAGGGAGCGCCGCAAGGAATAGCCCCCCGAGGGGAGGAGAGACGCCAGCGGCTGAGGAGGAGCGGGAAAGGCGAGAGGAGCGGAAGAGACGAACGACGGACGACGACGACGACGACGACGACGACGACGACGACGACGACGACGACGACGACGACGACGACGACGAACGAAGAAGACGACAGCAGAAGGGATCGTTATCCGCTTAAGCGCAAACAAATTTCCAAAGATAGCTGTCTGAACACGGGCGGGTGGAAGATGCGTCGAGGGACGGAGCGGAAAAAAGGGCGTTGGCGGGACGCGCTGAGCGTCGTCCTACCCCAATTCCGCTAGCAAGCCTGGCGCGGCAGCCACTGCTCCGCCAGCCGAAGGGAGCTCCACGCGCCTGCTCGGGACTGCTCGCGCCGTCGCCTGGCGGATCGCCACGGACATGCGCTGGAACAGACGCGCCACGCCCGCCCCCAGCTCCTCGCCTCGCCCCCGATCACTGGACCGGGCTAGCCGGCGCAGAGTGTCGGCGCAAGTCGGGCCCCATCCTCCAGAGGGCTCCGCCACGAGGGGGATGAACACGATCCCCTGCTGCTGGCACTGCCGCTCTGCGTCGAGGTGGTTCCTCTTGACCAACTCGTACTCCTGCGCCGCGCGCCCCACGTCCTGGAACGCCAGGACACGGGCAGCCTGCCTGCGCGGCGAAGCCACCGCGAAGTCGAAGGCAGCAGGCGCCCCTTGGAACCAGGAGGGCATGTAGACATGCGCAGGCCGGCGCCCATGCCAGGAAGGCCAAAATCAGCTTGCGCATAGCATGCCATGATTATAGCTGGCTGGCACTCAGGCGTGCGAGTACCCTGCGGAATGGTCTCGACCGTCTGGCGCTGCTCCAGGGAGTCGGGGTCGTTCTGCTGGAAGATCGCAGCGATGCGCTCGCTCTGCGCGTCGTTCACTATCTCGCGATTCTGGCCCAAATCGCCGCGAGCGTTGCCACCGGATTCAGGAAGAGCTGGCAGATCAAACACGATAGGCGCGCCGTGCGTCGCGATGAACTCCTGGTAGTTAGGGCATGATAAAGCCGAATGGATGATGTCTCTGCGACTCAGAATGCTGAAATCTCCCACGGCGGCGCCGCACTGGCACTCGAACTCGTTCAAGCATGGGCACAGAAAAGATACCAGCACGGGATTGGGGGCACTTGCTATCTCCAAACGGTTCCGGAAAAGGCACATCTCGCACGCGCCGCACGCGCCTGGCCGGGGCCCCCACGGCGCTTTCACCATGTCCTCTGTTCTCCATGATGGGGGGAGAATCGGCGCAGCAGTTGACCCGCTTGATGGCGCGACCGCCAGGGCCGAAGGCGTGGATGAGCAACGGGCCGGAGTCCCCCCGCACAAACGGCAACCACCCGCGGTCGTCAAACCAGTTCTTCACGATCCTGCCGCCAGCGAAGGCACGGCAGGCAGCGCGCTCGGGGTCCTGTAGCAGAGCGTCGAGGTGGGAGATGCAGCTCGCGCCCCTCCCGTTCGGCACCTTTGACGAGTTGATAGCACCGTCCTCGTGTGACTGCCAACGCCGTAGACGACGCGCATGTAGGCACTGCCACCGACCCTCCCAGTCAGCTCGCGGGCCCTGCCACCGACCGAGGCGCGGCGTCCGCGGCCACGACAATCACGGCCTGTCAGCCACGAGCGGGTTCTGTAGGCGCATCGCGCGGCGCCGCACAGAATGCCGCAGGCACGGCAACGCGTCTTCTGATTGACCTCGGCGGCACGCCAGGTGCGCCCAGCAACGTCCGAGGTGCGTGCGAGAACCGGAGAACGCGCAGGAAGCTTCACGGTAATATCTCTGCCCAAGGCAGGGGCGAAGTTCGGCGCGAGCAGACCCTGTCGCTTCAAGTGTGGAGGCAGGAGATGGCGCGGTAAAAACTTCGATGGGCAACGTTCAACAATTTCGTGGACAAAGTTGTCGGCGGGCAGCGCGGGTTCTCTCCAGGAGCCTGAAATGGCGGCGTTCCACAAAACTCAAATGTCTTCGCCAATCGCGTTCTGCATCACCGCGCCCCGAAGACACAGGCTTTCAATCCCGATCAAGATAGCAAGGAACGCCAGCCGGACTGCAAGCGCAGGCACCAGGCCGCGCGGCCCACGGCCTCCCGACGCAGCGCCCAGTTATGGATCGAGCCCCTTGGCCGCACTCCGGGTGGTCTCGACGAGCGCCTTCTTGGAGGCACGGAGCGTGAACTCGCCGCTGTCGCCCAGGCGATGCTCGACGACGAGCGCGGCGTCGTCCAGGTTACCTCGCGGGCGAGCAGGCCGGTCGGTGGAAGCCGAGCCCACGCGGGTGCTGCCACCCGCGGCATGAGAGAAGTAAGTGTCGCCACTAGCATGCATGCCTATAACCAGAGAGGTCAAGGCTGCCCGACGCCCAAGAGGGGTCAAAGTCGGGGTGGGGACCGACCCCTTCGCTGAAATCGCTGAGAGCGGGCAGGGGGCACAGCGCCGCGCCAGCCCGAGTCGAATTGCCGCCGGGGGGGCGACCCCTGACAACACACACACACACACACACACACACACACGCGAGCGCGCGAAGGGGCGAGGGGCAGAGGAAGAAAAACAAGCAGCATCAGCAGGCACACCAATGCGGCCCGCGCGCGCATGCATGTTTCCGCGCCCCTCGGCCCCAGCATCAGGCCTCGGCGTCCCGGGCTCCTCCTGGATTATCAGGGCGTGGGGATGCGGGGCGGATGAGCGCGATCTCTAGTGGGTCGTTCCAAAAGTGGGTCTTCTTGGCCTCGAAGTGTCTGGTCATCACGTTGGCGACCTGTTCTTCTGTTCCTACATAATTCACTCTGTTTGTTCGGCGGCGCATACTTCCATAATCCAACCGAGTTTCATGCGATCAATGGGATGATGATGACGAAGTGCCGGCGCACGCCCCCTGGAAAATCTGCATAACGGTCTGACTGCCCTCCGCAATGATAAGCGGCACCAGCCGCGATCCTTTATGGACTGGCTCAGCCGCTGGCATGCGCAGCACGTTGTCCTCATACAAAACCGCAGTCGCAGGCGTCGCTGCCGCAGGAAGATCTCGTGGAACGCGCCCTCTATCTGGGGAAGAAAATCGGCCGGGGCAAGATGCGCGCGTAGGTGCAGCCTTCCGCGGCGGAGTCTTCCGTCGCTCTTTCTCGGCAGCCAATGCCTGAGTCAACGGCCTGCCTTGAGTCACCATGGCCTCCCAAAACGAAGTCCCTCAATTCGCAGCGCTGCCTGAAGCGACGGTCTCAGATGCCGTAGAAGAATGCGAAACGACTGTCTGCTTCCTGCAAACTGCGCCGGCTGGCAAGGCAGCGCTGGGCCCCACCCGCATGGCGAAGACGCCGGTAGTGAATATTGACGCGCTCACACAGTCTGCGTAAGATGCACCTGTGAGGAGCATCCTGGATCGCTTGTCAGTCACGCCACCAATCCAGCAGCGCAGGTTCAAGTAACAGACGATGAAGTCGCTTGTCACAAGCGTAGCTCCATGCGATGATCTGTCTGACCAGCATACAGACTGGGTGAAGAAAGTCGAACTGGGTACATCGCGCTGAGTAGGAAGGTGCCACCAAAACAGTCGCCGCGTCCGGGCCGGGCACGCCGGGGATCTCACAGTCCTGCTCAGCGTCTTCGATGCCAGGCGTCTCGGCGACGGGGGGTCGTCAAAGGTAGCGGCGTCGCCCGTGGGTTTCTCAACAGACACATCACTCTGGACACTGCTGGAGCATTTTGATGTGGAATGGCGTTTTGCTCGGGAGTTGCCCGGGCCCACGGGCGCGGGTCTCTCGACCGACGCAACAGATCGGGTCGAGCGAGAGTGAGATGTCCTGGGCGACGGAGATCTGCGCCGACACGTGGAAGCGCGGCCGCGCGCTCAAGGCATCGTGAACATTGATCAGCGAAACCACACATGACATGTCAAATGCCACGAACGTCCTTCTCGGATTTGTAATCCTTGAAGCTGTGCTTGGGAAGCACCGGCCGCATGGTAGACATACGCTTTTGGAACAGCAAAGTCGCGCACCTCAAACGCATCTTGTCTGCAGCCCAAGCATTGATCACAAGTCGTAGGTGGGCCCAGCTCAATGCCGCTCTTGCGGATGAGATCCCGGCCAGGCATGAGATTGCCACTAGGGCCTGCTATCTTGAAATCGCCCACGCACAAAAGCTCGCGCTTGCGGTTCGGCGGCAACTTCGCGCCTGTTCAGATTGCGAGTGACAAGCACAGGACAGAGCATAGATGTAGTCAATTAATCTCGGCGGGCATTGCTGCCAACGCTGTCGGGAAGGCGCGGCATTGTAGGCAGTGCTACCGACTGCCGAAATTGTCGTCACAGGTAGTTGGCGTTGCCGAAGTCGGCGCACTCGCTGTCTCGGAGCGGGAGCGCATGAATAACACCAGCGACATCGGCAGCCCTTTCTATCTGATGAGTGCTGGAAGATAACATGGGACAGTGGTAGTGTCACGGGGGGCGTCTGGCATGGCAACGCGCAAGATGTTCCTGTCTTTGACGCCTTCGACGTCTTCATCTCGCACGATGGCGACCTCGCGGAGTCGTGAACGACGATTCCTTCCAAAGTATCCCATGAAGGTCAACCGTCTTGCGCGTGCGAACACGGCGAGCCTGGTTGTCCTCACGTGTCTACACACGCAGGGCGGCACGCTGTCGTACGTCACGTGCTCGTTTGATGTACTCTTTAGGTTTACTTAAATTCAGCTGCACGTTGTCTGCGGAACATGAAGGTCCAGAAATCAGGGAGCACATGGGCGAAATGCTCGGTGGTCTGGATACTTGTCTCATGGCCATGAATGTCCATCTTGCCATCGGCCGTAATATCATGATTCTTGTAAGAACGCACAGGTCCTGTCCACGGTTCACTGAGTTGTCGATGACCAACAACGCTGACGCCGCCCCATGCGTCGCGGAAATTACCTTCGTCCAAAAACGAAGAGGTGCGCCCAAAACTCCGGGTGACGTCAAATTTGCGTTTACCCGAAGCAGAAAGTTGACCGCGTCATCGGCGGGGCGGAAGAGCTGGTTTTTGCCGCGCGGATATGCCAGATGAGCGCATCGCCGCGCCTCTCCCAGTAATCAGGTTCAGGCGCGACGGCGGCATCATCTGGAGCCCGTGGGACTTGCGCGGGGCTGTCGCCCAGCTGCAGGCTGGAAGCACCCCACTCCGGAGGATGGATAAAATGCGCGGAGGATGGATAAAATGCCGAGTGGGCGAGATGCCGCTGCCGCCATGGCCTCGTGCGCCTCGGAGTTCTGGCGGCGCAGAAGACCTGCTTTAACCGGGAGGACAAGCTCGTCTGTCACCACACAATGCTCTTCATACCGTGGACGGAACAACGTTCACCGTCGGGATTATTGGCGCGCGCGGCCGCGTCAAAGACCATATAGTCGCTTGACCAATGCCCACCTGAATGAAGAACCCCCCATGAACGGCCCCCCCCCACGGAGAATTTCCCCGAAGATTTGTTGAGCTCGGGGCCGGGGCACTTCCAATGATTGCGGGGCCCGACGGGAACGGCGCGCCCACTGAAAGTCTCGCCAAATTGAACCCCATTTGGAGTTTTGCCTGCGCGCGCGGGTTCAATAGATGCCACGCCATTGGAAACCGTCACGAAGTCGCGGCCGCAGCGGCGGGCCTGCAAAGCTTCTTCCCGCCAATCATGTCCCAGGCTGGACGCTCGGAGCACCGCCATGGCACCCTTGATGAAAGTCTTCACAGCACGCTCAGCAAGCACATCGGCACGTGGACCAAGGGGCGCGCCTGCGTCGCGTCGCCATCATAGCAGACGGCACGCCTTCAGAAGCTCGCTGGAACCATTCGCGCACACGCGCTTCACTTCGCCGTGGGTGGCCACGAATTGCAGAAAGGACGCCTGCGTCGCTGCTGCGCGCGCAGTGGCACGTGATATGACTCCTCTCCTCCCTGCAGCGATGGCGGCTGAATGCAGTAAGGCTGTGTTTTCCGTATCGATCGCTCGTACAGTACACAACTATGACGCGTCTTGAGCCAGTACATTACAGTACGGGCTGTGAATTCGCCGGGCCCCCGATGAGCTCCAGAGGGTCCCGAGAGAGGAACGTGAGAGGTATGTAACAACTTACTCTCGTGATGGCTTAATCTACGCAGTAGGCTCTGTGGCCCATGGCTAATTGACGGCAACTAAAATGAGGAGGAACTAATTATTACAACTACGCAT